CCCTCCCGATAATTTCGGTTCTAATAATTTTTAGAAATGTCTGATGTTTCAATTTAATTTAAGTTCTTTTAATTCAAAATGTTGGGTGGAGCTATGTGCCTGTACCACAAGTCGCCTCTGTCATTTCTAAATTCAACTATTGTGATTTATGAACTATTTGTAAGATTAATAAATGAATTGTAACAAATTAATAATTAATAATAATAATTATGAGTGTTCTTACATATCGTCGTTCACGAGAACAAACCTCCTATGTACCAAATTTATGATTTTGAGGTTTTGGTATCCCTAGCTGGATTCAGAAAAAAATTTGCTATTTATTGATAAAATCTCCTATGTGCATCTACCTCGTAGAATTAATGAAAAATTATAAATAAACTTTCCTATGTGGTATCTACAATTAATCGTTACAGATGTTTATTAAATATCTCCTATCTGCTATCTCCGCAGTAGAAAAATTCTCCTATGTGTTACCAACTATAAATCGTTTATGAAATAACTCCTATGTGATTTTTTTATTTAAAACGTTTTTTGTGTTTTCTGAAAACTAAACTTTTTTCACACAGGAGATTTGTTCCCACGAACGATGATATTTCAGGTATGCTATGAGTCATTAATTGTTTTATTTTTTTAGGTACTTATGAAAACTTCATCCATGCGTTCCTCTGACACCTGTAACGTGCCGAACAGCGTTACTTGAAGAAATGGAAGCAGTAATTGAACAAAACCTCTTTTGATAGTATTTATTGTATTTATTATGTAAAACAGTTTTTGTAGAAAATATTCTAAGTCCAAATAATTGACTTAAGCGAGTTGTGACTATAAGTAATTAGTGACTGTTAAAGTTGAGGCTGGTTGCTCGTCTGATGAACGCTTGTCCATCAGCTCTCCTCGATGGATCTCTGTCCCTTGCCACTTCCATAATTTCTAAGACCATACATGGTTCTTCCATTATTTTAAGACCATACATGGTCTTGCGGTTAAGCCTATTGTGATTTTCACACGCTTGCACGCGCCGGAAGTCCACATATATCTATATCGCACATTTGTGGTGTTATTCAAATAACAGCACAAATCTAAACTATATTATTTTAGGATTATTCATATACGTAGTCATATATTTATTGTCACACGCCGCTCATGGTCACGCACTCGATATTACTATTATTGATATTATAATTATTACTATTCGAAGAAGCGCTCGATTATAATATTCATATTTACTTTATTGCGAATATTATATGATTACGTATACATTATAATGTGTTTAAGCCATATGGCAAGATAGTCACAGATCGCTACACACCAAAAAATCAAAGGTTTTAACAGGTATTTACTAATTTAATGATTATTATCTATTGCTAAATACTGATAATAGTTAAATTTAAAAAAATTGAAAGTATATAGTGTACTCTGAATTTAAGTACTGGTTAATTTAGTATTTATTAATTCAAAGTTAATTTTATGATTAATGTTAAAATGGTCGGAGATAGGAGTGGACTGTATAATCGGTATGTAAGAATCAAAAAGATAAATAATGGTGCAACAACTTATGTTTGCCACGGTGTCACCGGGTGCTACTATTCAAATAAAAATGATAATAATACTTTAGGTGAAGTAGGGGGCACAATAGTGCTGGCCAGCGGAGGGCAATAATTAATACAAATAAATAATAATAAACTTAGGTAAAACTAATTACGAAATAATAACATAATATAACAATATATATGTATATAAAAACCGTGTTGGGGCGACAGCAGTCCGCTGGACAATCAACGGCTTAAGGTAATGGTTGGTGGACGGTACTGGTAGTGATGACGGTACGTGTTCAGAAAGATACACAAAAACAATGACGGTAACGGTAACAAATAGCTATGAACGGTCGGTCGGTAGGTAACGTGGTGAGTCGGACTGTAGGTCGAACGGTACTGGTCATAGGTGCCGGCCGCCTGCATACTGCAGCAACGCATTTGCCGATATGAACCGGGACACCGTATAACTGCTTCACGTTCCGAACATACCGGCCTCCTTGAAGGTAGCGACCTTCAATTGGATAGTGGCAAAGGGCATAGCTTGACCACGGGACGACGTAGAACGGTGCCGTTGGCCAACTTGACATCAGCGACCCGGGTTATGGCATCCGTTCCTGGGTAAACTTCCACGATACGAGCGGTTTTCCACGTGAGGGCTGGTGATGGTTCTTTGATTAGAACAAGTTGACCCACCTTGAGGTCTATGGCTATTTTCAGCCATTTTTTGCGTGGTTGCAATTGTTGTTAAATACTCCCGCTGCCATCTTTGCCAGAAGTGTTGTTGGATTTGTTTAACCAGTGTCCATCGTTGTCGCAAGCTGACGGAGACCGGGCGATCTTCGTTGTCTGGTACTGGTATCTTAGCCGGCGGTCCCATCGATATAAAATGGCCAGCGGTTAACGGCGTGTAATCATTGGGGTCTGACGATAATGCACCAAGGGGTCGTGAGTTTAGAGACGCTTCTACTCGATGCAAAATGGTGTTCAGCTCTTCGTATGTCAGTATTTGATCTTGTATGACTCTTCTCAACAATGTTTTCGCCGACTTAACAGCTGCTTCCCACATTCCACCCATGTGAGGGGCTGATGGATTAAAATGCCATGTTATCTGCTTCTCAGTTACATGACGCGTGTGGGACTGCGAACTGATGATGTCATGAACTTCACTCAGATACCGTTGAGTACCAGTAAAGTTCGTGCCACAGTCACTATGCATGTCCGAACATTGCCATCGACGTGCAAGAAACCGATCTAGAGCTGCCATGAACGTTGGTGTAGAAAGGTCCGATGCGAGTTCCAAATGCACTGCGGTGGTTGACATGCACACAAAGACGCACAAATATGCTTTTGTTATGCGAAGTTTTTGTAACAGTGCGGCCTTTACATTAAACGGACCTGCAAAGTCTACGCCGGTTTTATTAAAGGCCTTTACGTGGTCCAAATGCGCACGTGGAAGGTTCCCCATAAATGGCTGTGGGGACCGAGGACTAGCTCGGAAGCAAGGTATGCAACGATGTATTCTCTTTCGGATAACACCTCGCACCGATATTATCCAAAAGGACTGTTGCAGAATGTTTTGTACTGCGTTGGGACCTGGATGGCAATTACTACGGTGCACGTAGTCAATCAGAACTGCCGTCAAGCGAGCTTCTTTAGGCAAAAGTACTGGGTATTTTTCATTGTAGGGCAAATCTGAATGTCGCAGGCGTCCTCCTACTCGAAGTAGATTCTGTTTGTCCAAAAAAAGGGCCAATTTCCGTAACTTTATGGAACACTTACGGTTGTTCCGCAGGTTTTCTATCTCTTCTGCGAAGAAAACTCTTTGCGTCCAGTGAACCAGAGCCCACATCGCATTGGTTGTCTCCACTGTGGTGGGTGGAACAGCTTTATGTGGCACGACCTTCTTCCGTAAACAATCGCGCACTCGAAGCCAGTAAGAGGTTAAACGCAGAATTTTAGGCCAATTGTCCGATTGATATAGGAGTGGGCATTCGGTCATGGTTTTAGTAGTCATCAGTGTAACTATTTTGGTCTCAATTTTGGTGTTCATTTTTTTCGTTCTCATCTGATGCGATTATGTCGATTTTAGGCCATAACTCCTCTGGTTTCTTCAGATAGTCTGGCCCCGTCCACCACATTGTATGGTTGACTAATTCTCCTGGGGTCAAACCGCGCGATGCACAGTCTGCCGGATTATGTGCAGTCGGCACGTGTCTCCATGTATCTGGCGACGTCATATGCTGTATCTGGGCAACACGGTTTGCTACAAATGTTTTTAGTTTCGAAGTTGGTGTTTTTATCCATGCTAGAGCTACTGTTGAGTCCGACCAGGCAGTGGTGCGGCTTAACTGTAATGTAGTTAGGTTGGTACGCACATAAGTGATAACTCGAGCGAGGAGTAGTGCTCCGCATAATTCCAATCTGGGAATGGACAACTTTTTTTCGGGTGCTACTTTTGATTTGCCCATTAGAAGCTGAAAATGCATGGTCCCGTCTGGTCTTCGAGCTAAGATGTACACAGCAGCGGCGTAGGCAATCTCCGAGCTGTCACAAAATCCATGTAGTTCGTAGGTCGATCCGGTGCAAGTAACTTGTCGTCGCACTCGTACTTGTCCTATTAGTGGTAATTCATTGTGATAACACTTCCAAGCATCCATCGCTTCTTGGGGCAATGGGTCATCCCATCCAACTCCCAGTGACCATAAATATTTCATAAGCTTCTTGAGATGAGTGGTTACGGGCGTTAACAGCCCAATAGGGTCGTAAATACGCGCGATTTCAGATAAAATATGACGTTTGTTAAACTGTATAGAATTAGTTTGGTGTTGAAAGGTTAATACGTCACTATTTGGCTCCCACTTTAAACCAAGTACTTTGGTAAACTCAATGTCACCTCCGTTAAACGCAAGGTCTTGGTTTTGTCGATGTTTTTTGGGTACGGCGTCTAATACCTTAGCCGAGTTACTGGACCATTTACGAAGTTCAAACTGCCCATTCTTTAGAACTTTTATGAGATTTTGTTGAAGTTGAAGCGCACTTTCTACACAGTCGGCACCAGTGACCACATCGTCCACATACAGATCGTTACTCAGAACTCGTTGAACATCCGAGTAGCCACCTGCTTCGTCGTTGGCTAATTGAAGTAGCGTTCTTATTGCTAAGAATGGTGAAGATCGTTGGCCGAAGGTCACAGTGGTCATTTAAAAAGTTTGAATAAGTTCTGAACTTTGAAATCGGTAAAGGAGCCGCTGATATTGTCTATGTGCGGGAGTAACGATGATTTGTCTGAACATTTGCTTAATGTCAGCTGTAACCACAACTTCATGTACCCGGAACCTGATGATTATACCCGGCAAGTCTTGTTGTAATTTTTTACCAGGATAAAGGTTGTCATTCAACGACTTCCCGTTCGAAGTAGTAGCTGACGCATCGTACACAACTCTCACTTTTGTAGTAGTACTGTCAGGTTTAATCACTACTTGATGTGGAGTGTAATAAAGCCTGTTCCGGTTCGGGTGTGGCTTCTGGTACTATTTGCATGTGACCGCTATCGAGATAATCCTTCATGGCAGTATTGTATTGTTGTCGTAACTGCGGCGACTTATCTAGTCGGGATTCTAAACGATAAAGCCGGTTGAGGGCCATTTGTCGTGACTGTCCAAGCTGCGGCGGTTTGCAATTGAATGGTAAATGTACAACGTATCGACCGTCTGATTCTCGTGTAGTCGTAGAATGATAAATACGCTCACAGTCCTCTTCTGCTGGACTCGTCTTTGACGCATTTGGTACTTCCTCTATTTCCCAGAACCGTCGTAACACAAGATCTACACTGTCCAAAGATGTTAATAACGTAGTGCTTCTCTTAGGATTAGTGTTACCAGTGTTTCCCATTAGAGCCCAACCAAACACTGTTTCGATACCAACTGGCGCACTTAGTAAATTTTCCCGTCGCCCACTTCGTATGATGTAGGGGAAAACTTCGGCGCCTAGCAGTACGTCTACGGGTAATGGTTCGTTGAAATTTGGATCGGCTAGTTCAAGATTTTTTAGATGCACCCAATCTGCATCTCGTATATGTTTGGACGGCGTACATCCGGTAATTTGTGTTACTACATACGCTTCGATTGTCATTTGCTGTACATGGTGTCGTACAGGGCGAATAACTACTTGCGCTCGAGATTTTATCGTGGGTACTTTCACTCCAGATATGCCACTAATTGCTAAATTACACCTAGTCTATGTCGACAACTTTCGGTTATGTAGCTACTCTCACTAGCAGAATCTAACAATGCTCGTGCTCTTTGATAACACCCATTGGCGTCTTGTATGAGAACTTCTACGGTAGACATAAGCACTTGTGAGCGTATTGGCAAATTGCCCACAGAGGACAATAAAGTATTTGATTAGTCCTCCACTGCATTGTTGTCCCAATGTAGCCAAGAATGATTTCGTCCCCCACACACCTCACACACTCGTGTACTCTTGCAGTTCACCGACGTGTGTTCACTGAAACACAAGTAACATCGATTGAGATCCTTTATCAACTGATGTCTTTCAGCTGGTGTTTTTTGTTTGAAGTCCGGACAATAAATAAATAAATGTCCCGGTGTTGCCTTACACACTTGACACGAGAATGATTTTTTTTGTTCATTTGCATTAGCGTGCATGGGTTTAGGTTTTTTGAACTTCGATTGTGTAGTATGCAGTGTTGTGATTTTGTCAGGTTTTGTAGTTTATGCTTTTTCACGTCCACTTGCACTGGACTGGCCAGCACCTGCCGCTTTACAAAACTTGGTCAAAAATGTTACGAAGTCCTCGACGGTTGGATCGTCGTTGGTATCGACTAATAGTTCCCATTGACCTCTTAGTGGGGCATTCAATTTTTTTTTAAATAAGTATAATAATATTGGGTCCCATTGGTCAACAGCATACTTCTGGGTTTTTAATGCTCCGACTGATTCGGTAATGGTGTTCAATAATTGTCGTATGATTTTGAGTCACCTAGCATGGCCTTTTGAGCTGTCCAAAGCTGGTCGAAGTGGTCGTGTGCTATTGTGCGCCTATTTGAAAACCGCTCGTATCGTGGAAGTTTACCCAGGAACGGATGCCATAACCCGGGTCGCTGATGTCAAGTTGGCCAACGGCACCGTTCTACGTCGTCCCGTGGTCAAGCTATGCCCTTTGCCACTATCCAATTGAAGGTCGCTACCTTCAAGGAGGCCTGTATGTTCGGAACGTGAAGCAGTTATACGGTGTCCCGGTTCATATCGGCAAATGCGTTGCTGCAGTATGCAGGCCGCCCGGCACCTATGACCAGTACCGTTCGACCTACCGTCCGACTCACCACGTTACCTACCGACCGACCGTTCATAGCTATTTGTTACCGTTACCGTCATTGTTTTTTCTCTTAGGAACATCCGGCTCGAAGGACCATGTTAAAACGGTCGGTCGGTAGGTAACGTGGTGAGTCGGACGGTAGGTCGAACGGTACTGGTCATAGGTGCCTTGCGGCCTGCATACTGCAGCAACGCATTTGCCGATATGAACCGGGACACCGTATAACTGCTTCACGTTCCGAACAATTACAGATGAGTTTAAGGATATGGTATCCCATAATTTAATAATTATGAAACACAGTATCAGGAATTTAAATCAAAAATTTGATTTAATGATTGAAAGAAGTTCCAAATTGTCACAAAGCTCAAACTTAATTCATGAAGATGATGTAACTGATAATTACACAAATGTCAACTGTATTTTTCCTATTAACGACGTGAATAATTTGAATGATATTGAAGAACAACTAGCAGCAGATAAAACATATCATAAATTAATGGTAATTTGTTTGTATTGTGGTTTTTATAATATAATTAACAGTTTTAAATTGGTTTTTTTATACAATTTTAAATATTTATATTTATTTTTTATTTTGTTCCAGACAAATAAACTAGTCGGATTAGGTGGCAAAACTATACAAATTTATGTTAAACGGGTTATGCAGTTATTATTCACCGATGAACTGTTAAAATATTATTCATTTTATGGCCGGGCAAACAAAAAAAAATGTTTTTGCAATCTTATTATTTCAAAGCTAATTTTTAGTAAGTATGGTCATTTAACTAAAACTTTTTTATAGGAGTTATAATATAATTATGTTAATCATTATTTTTTATGCATGTTATATTTTCTTAACTATATAATATAAACATCTACTACATGTGTTACATAATATATCATTTAATTTACCGAATAGTGCAGATCTACAAGACTCAAAGAATTTATCTAATACTATATAATATTTATTTAATATTTTTGTAATATAAAATATTACATAATAATACCTTTATCTGTTTTAATAGTTTTATTATATAATTAAATAATTCTTTTTGCCTTCTCTCTCTTTGTTGCAATATCCAGGAGTATTATTATTATATAAGTGACAAATTCAAAATTGACATTAATGTATATGAAAACATTTTCTAACTATAGAACATATTTTATTAATATAGTTTATTTACGAAATTGTTTTTCTTTACTCATATTATCCATCTTTTTTGAGTGGAATTTAGTTAACAAATGTCTCTTGTGAGCTCTTAAATACCTACTTGACCACATTCACATGCTACCGCCTACCAATTCAGTGCTAACTTTGGTTTTCATACAACTTTTACACCATTTTTGGTTTTTACTTAATTCATTAACACTCTTGAAATGTTGACATTTTGAACATAAATATACCTCTCCTGCTTTCAAAGAATGCAATAATACCTCATTATTATTTATCTTCTCATAAAGATGGATAATTTTATTATTTTGATTCATTTTTTATATTTATTTATATACAAACATTTTTAGTTATATAATAATTTTTAAATCGTGCTAATAATTATATAAACTATATGTCTTTATTAATATATTTTTACTTCGTGCACGGAAAATCAGTGCACTATATTCATATTCATTTAAAACTTAAATTTAAGTGATTTTGTGACAATCAAATCGTGGTCTGTTTTTCCGACCACGATATTTATGTTTATTTAAAAACTCTAAAATCTGAAATTATTTATGTAACTAAAAATATATTCTCAGTAATTAATATTTCATTTTTTGATTATGACCGGTCATGATTTTATTAAAGAATAACTGAGAATTTATTAGAATTTATGGCATTTGGTGACAATAATAACGAGTTAAATTATAAAATATGTGAAATATCGATGTAATTGTATACAAAAAAAGCACTGAAATTTGGATGTAAAAGTGTTAAAATAATCTAATTTTAAGGTGTTTTTTGGTCATATAAAAAATCCAAGTGTGTCACAACATATCTACTATTAAGGTCCAATAGAGTTAAACTTCCAGATGTAACAAAAGCTAAGCTACAACCAGGACAAATAGTAGGAAAAGAAAATTCAAATGGTATTGTGGTTGCCAAATGGCGTGACAAAAGGGATGTTACCATGTTATCTACCCGTCATGACATTTCTATGGTTTCACAGGTAAAAAAAGTAGGAAAAACGAATCAGTACTGAAACCAAAAATAATAATTGACTATAATGCTGGGAAGGCTGGTATTGATTTATCGGACCAGCTATCGAGCTATAGTAGCCCCGTACGAAAATCAATAAGGTGGTACCACAAAGTGGCAACCGAAGTTTCATTAGGAACTGCAGTAGTCAGTGCCGGAGCAATCGTCGGGGCGAGCGGCGCACGTGCCCCGGGCCCCGCGATTTTGGGGCCCCGATATTTATAGTGCTACCACCTGAATGAAACCAAAAAAACATAAATTAAGTTAATTTTTGATCATGAGTCTTGGTATACCCAACATATACTATTATACTAACAACAAAAAATATATTACCCACAAAATACCCATGTATCACATTAAATTTAAGTTGATTTCTACGTTCTACCGAATTATTTTTGTAGTTTATAATGATTGTTAGAACTAAAATGCTCGACGGTAATTGTATCGTCGTTATTGGCTTATCGCATTTGATGTAGCCAATAATATGTACATGTATAATATATCGTTACACTAATGACAATACCACGTATCTGACATTTTACACAAAATGAGTTTTTGGTATCAAAATATTTGGAATCTCCTTGCGCACAAAATTATTTTCTGATACAATAACCTAAAAAAAATTATTTTCCCTCCAAATTGGATTTAAGTGATAACACGTATCCAAATTGTATCTGTGACAACACGTATCTACACAGTTTATCGTGTGAAGGATTCGAGAACGGATTTGCATACGGAATCCTTCCACTACAGCAGGTATTTATTACATTCAAATTTATAAACACGATACATAGTTGTTCCTATTTAAATTACAAATAAATTATTTTGTCATAACTATGAAATTCATTAAATAAAATCACTTCTTTAATACTGTTTCAGATACGTGGTATTGCTATATTAAAAAACAAATAAATTTTCAGTTACGTGTTGTTGTACCTTATACCTACCAAAGTAAAAATTATTTTTTTAATTATTATTAAATTATTTTTACTATAATATTAGTTAGCTGTTGTTTCATTTTAAATATAACTATTAAACATGACATCAAAATCAAGAATTAAAAAATTAGTTAATCTTGCAATTTATAATAACACAAGTTTGAAAGACCCTGAGCCTGTTAGTTATGAAGATTTAATAAATTCTGCTGAAGTTGTATTTGAAGATAATTATATACCTTTAGAAGTAACTACTGTACAAAATAATAATGAAAATGAATCCATAGAATATGATGGCAATACGTTTATTGAAAACTTACCTGTAGAAAAATATTACAACAATGTTGAAATCCAGAGTTCTGAAAATACATTATCATTAGAAAGTGAAATAATTTGTCTTAATGATATAGAAACTAATATCAATGAACTTATTACAAATGATTTTTCTGATGTTCAAGAAAATAGTAATTTAGATCATTGTGCTGAAATTAATTCCAATTCAGGTAAAATTAAAAGAAAACGAAATGTATATCCAGACAGTACTAAATGGAAAAGAGAAACAAATAAAAAATTAAGAATGAAAGGAGAGGCATATATAGGGTTCAGTCGTACAGGAAATGTTGTACAACAAAATATATCTAGGTCTGAACGTTCTTTATTGGATACTTGCTCATCTAATGTTTGCTTAAAATCCAAAAAACGATTTTGTAGTGATTTTACTGAGGAACAAAGACAAAATATTTTTGATCATTTTTGGAACGCTTCATGGGAAGAAAAAGAAACATTTGTATTAGGAACAGCTTTGGTAACAGAGGTTAAAAGAAAAACAACTGAAGAAAATACAAGAAGATCTAAAACTTATAATTATCACCTTAGGTATAAAGATAGTCTGCCTATTCAAGTTTGTAAGAAAATGTACCTAAATACATTATGCTTAAAAGAATGGATGGTATTAAACTGGGTAAAAAAAAGTGAGCACGGTATTCCAAAACAAAACCAACTTATTTCTATTGAAGAGCCAGACACAAATAATGAGTCTCCTACACAGTATAGATCAGTTCAAAGTATTTCAAGAAGACTATCTTATGCTAATAAATTAGATTATCTTAAGAATTGGTTTGATAGTTTACCAAAACTTCCCTCCCATTATTGTCGTAAAAGAACAGAACGAATTTATTTTGAAGGGCCATTCAAAGATGTGCAAGCAATATATAATTTATACACAGAAAAATGTATTTCAGATAAATTAGCTCCATTTAGCAAAGCTTTTTTTGTCAAGTATAAAAAAGAAAATAAGTTTTCAATATTTAAACCTAGAAAGGACAAATGCGATATGTGTGCTTCGTATGAAGTTGGCCAAGTCTCAGAAAATAAAATGGCTGTACACATAGCTCATAAAGATCGTGCTCGGGCTGAGAAAGAATTTGATAAACAACTTTCCAAAGAAAATAGGGCTCATGTATTTACAATGGACATGCAAGCAGTTAAATTATGCCCATATCTTCAAGCTAGTGCATTATATTATAGCATGAAATTAAAAGTACACAACCTAACTATATACAATATTGGCAATGCTGAATGCCACAACTATTGGTGGTATGAGACTGAAGGAAACCTAGAAGCATCCGTCTTCACCACAATACTCATTAAACATCTTGAGAAGGTTTGCCTTGACCAAAAACCAATAGTTGTGTATACAGATGGGTGTGGATACCAAAACAGAAATGTAGTACTTT